TTCGTCACCAATTGATGAACGAAGTTGTTCAACTGCAGTTGATGACTCCCTAAAAAAATATGATGTCATATCAAGAAGTTTTTACTTTTGAAAAACAAAGTTGTTGTAAAAAATCAATAGAGTGAACGAGGAAATCTTCCCAGATGCTCTCTTCTGGCTTCAATGATTTTTTGTCTATAGACACTACATACTATGCTAGTAAAATCTCTAAAGAAATTCAGGTTCTCAGCAAAATAGGCCAATAGCACTGCCGAGGTTCCATAGGAATTCAAACATTTTCTTTAGGGCTTTCACTTAAATCCTATGCAGAATCTATAGACAAGAAAATCATTGAAATCGAAAGGAGAAATCTGATGAGTTTTCTTCGAAAGTATAAATACATGAGAAATTCTATGAAACAAATAAACTTCTTACAATAACAACGGAAACAATTAGTGATGTTGAAAATTTATTTAAAAATGTCAATGATATAATTACATGTTTGTCTATTGAATATTATATTCGTTATTTTTAAAAGTATGAATTTTAGTTCGTTACCTCCTTTGATCTCTTAGCTATTGTATAGATAATGACAACCATTAACATTTATGAGAGAATATGTTCTTAAAATAGAGATGTGCGAGACTCAGCCTTTTTTGTCCTAATCTAGAGGAAACTATTCGAAAATTTATTCGTATTACATCTCAAAAAACTTTTTAATACTTGTTTATAAGATAATTCGCTTAAAATTTCAGAATATTTCAGTATAATCTTAAGTCCAACATATATATATCTCAGAATCTTTTTTAAAAAAATCGAAATCAAGCAAGTCCTTTTATACAAAAAAAAAAAGGTGATCATCATTTGTGAAAATCATAGTTTCGTATATTCACACCTGTCAATATTAATTGTTTTAACAAATGGTCGAATACGAATATTGGAATCATAATTTTTCCAATTGCCTCTATTTATAAGTGTAATATCAAATGTATTCAATGCTAAAAGTTCCACTACTGTTTCTCCACCCAAAAAACCATTTCCACCAAATATAAGAATTTTTGTCATTGTTTTATCTGCCGTTGAATGTATCAATAATAAATTGAATAAAATCCACGAAATACTCTGCTTTTTTAACAAAAACAAAACAAAAAACAAATATAAAAATCATTCAAACATAGCAACGCATCAAATCCATGCAATCTTTTTTTTTCTCTCTCGCTCAATATCAAACAAAATACCCCATGAAGATCTGTCTTTGCCATTTAGATAAATAATTATTTTTATCTCTAAATGAAAGAATAATGAAAAAGTTATATTTGATCATCATTGGTGAAGGAATGTCTTTTTTTTCTTTATTGATTTGTATAAAAAAAAAACAAAGAAGAAAAAACAAGCATAATAAAAAAAAATCAAACAAACAGATGGACAACTATCGAATGTATGAAAGTTTGAATTTGATCATATCATCTTAAATATAAAAATTTAAGTTGTAACTTTAACAAGTGCTTCTTGTAAAACTGCACATAAAAATTCTAATTCTTCATCAGTCATTTCAACATTTAATATAAGACGAATTGATGGTTCAGGTAAAAGATGTTCATCATTTAAATATCTTGCAACAGTTATTGTTATATCACGTGTTTGAGCAAATTGAACAATTTCTTCTAAACGTCCAATTGTATTAAATGCATGTGTTAAACGTATATGTTTTAATGGTGATATTTCATCACCAGATATAATATAACCTTTAATTGATAATAATTTTTTATGTAAACGTTTACTTTTTTCCATAATTGTTTCAAATAATAATGTATTATCTTCTTCCATTATATTTAAAGCTTCAATAGCTGCAGCAGCAAGTAATGGTGGTAATGATGCTGAAAAACAATAACCTTGAGCTGATAAACGTTGATGATCAACAACAAATGAACTACCAACAGCAAAACCACCTATGGAACCAGCAGCATATTCTAATGTTGATGATATTAAATCAATTTTTTGTCGATCTATACCATAATATTCTGTTACACCACGACCTGCTTGTCCTATTGTACCAAATGATACACTTTCATCCATAAAAATACGATATTTATATTTATATTTTAATTCAACCATACGTGGTAATGGACATATATCACCATAATTAACATATAAACCTTCAATAATAAGAAATCGTCGTATTGATCGAGCTTTTTTAGGAATTTTCTTATCAAGTACTTCTTGTTCAGCTAATAAACGTTCAAGATCATTAATATCATTATGACGAAACCATTTAACATGACTACGTGATGCTTCAACACCTTTTTGTATTGCATAATGAACACCTTCATCAACAAATAATATATCATTACGTTTCGAATAAGCTAAAATTTACAAATAACTCTTAATTAGATTTTTTTTCTTTCAAAGAGAAAATTTTTTTTTTAAATTTAACCTGGAATAATACTGGCAATCGTTGAAAATCCATATGAATAAATAATACCTTCTTCACATTGAAAAAATCGTGCTAAACGTTCTTCTAGCTCAAGATGAATATCAATTGTACCATAAAATCTAAAAGAAAAACCAATAATAACATGATTCACCAAACCATAACCTTTTTTTTAAATATGCGAATCATTTTTTTCGTTTGGTTTAATAATATAGAACTAAAGATAGTTCTTATTTTTCATATTGTATGCACGGTAGAATTGCTTTTAATTGAAATAACAAAATCAACGTACGGTCAGGTCGATTCTAACTCCTCAAAATAGAACTAAAATACAACTCATTTTATAATGAACAAGCAAAAATCCTTCCTAATTAAGTCAATGACGACGTTACATAATCTCTTTTTTGTTCTGAGATTTGCAATTGCGTAGTATTTATATGATAGAATAATGTCATGCTGTTATTTTTATTGTATATATGATAAATAGTTAACAACAGATATCAATAGAAATAAGTTAAAATAATCATATTTTAATAAACTTACCCTCGTGGTCCGCATGATCCAACACCATATTTTTGTACTGCTTGTATGGCTTTATCAGCAATGCGTTGATTACCAACAAAATTAAGAAAATTAAATGTTGCAAAATTAAGACTTTTTTTTCCATCAATTTCAACTGTTTTACCAACAATACCATCTAATACTCGAACATTTAATGCCGGATGATTAGGATCAACCGATGGTACTAATGGTTCTGGTTGCCATTCATCAATTAAATCTTGTTTTTCTTTTTCTGTTAATTTTTTTTCAATTGGACGTGGTTTACGAAAAACTACAAGCCAAATAACAGCCAAAACAAGAAAAATTTCAAATGATATATGATAAAGTGGTGCATGTTTAAATGATTCCAAAAGGCCATAAAAATCTGTTGCTAAATTTTCTATATCACCTCTTGTCATTGATGAACCCATTTTAGACTTGTCTTTATCTTTTACTATGTATATATCTGCAATAGATACAACAATGCTTTTTTGTTATTATTTGAAGATCATTGTAAAGAAATAGCCTATCAGAATTTGTTTTGTTGTGTTTTTTTTTTATGATTAATAAGGATCATTCTACCGTGATGTCATTTTCTTTTTTTTTTATGTTTCAAACAATTTACCGTAGAAACATCTGTTTCCTTTGACAACTTTATTGTTTTTTTCTTGCGTTCTGTTGTCGATATGCTTTTGCTTTTGACTCCTACGTTTTTTTTTTGTATGTTATATTTAACTTCAAGGTAATTAAAGTATGCACATACATCCATGGAAAAGAATCTTTTTCTTTTCCCCATTACCCCATAACTCATTTTCCCTTGGAATGAGAGGAAAGACTTCCCTACATGTGTATATATACATATAATTATGATGTCATGAATCTATTCTTTTTTTTAAATAGCTTTCACGTTCTTAATCTTCTAATCAAAAACACGGCGGGATGGGAAAGGGTGTATGTCTAATTTTGAGTCACGGACATTACTAATTGCAAATAAAAAATTGTCTTCACGCATTACCTAATAGGTGTATCAATGAATGAAACAAGCCAGACATGGATAGGCTTAAGTGCAAAAAAAATATATTATCTCCATGATAATAGGAGATGTTTTGATATAATACAACGATAAAAGAACCTCCGTTATCATTACACATTAGATATATGCCTTGATCACACAATAAATATCTGACGAGAGAGTGATAGAAAAAGAAAAGAAAGAATATGGCACTCTGAATATATTTTGCCTCTTTCTATTCGAGAAGGTGTGTTAAAAAACAGCTGGTTAATATCAATTTCTAATGTCATACAAAGTATGTCAGTGCATGCAACGATAAGAAAAAAAGAAAATCGATGCTGACGCAGTTTTATTCGATTTATAAAAATACTTTAAAAAAAAAGAAAGGCACATGGAAATGAATAATGCCTTCACCATCAACGATTTGATGTAGAGCAAAGAAAAGATGAAGAAAAAAATAATTCTTCATTATCAACCATAAAAATAATATATAAAAAAAAACGAATCATTTCTGATTTCACACATTACAATTTGATATGTTCCCAAATAAAAAGAAAAATAGATATTTCAACATTCATTTTAATATTATTTTCAACCTTGAAAAATTTCTTTAACCTTATCGTTTTCTTACAGTCTCAGTGCAATTCTATCGAGGGAAATAGAAATTGCTTCTTCATATTATCTAAATAAAGCTTAAGAACCAACATCATGCACAAGACATTCGGTCGATGCATGGTGTACATAATAAACGATATCTAAACACAGCAAAACGAGTCTTTTTTTTCTCTTTCTATTCCTTCTCCCATTTTCATGTATTTTTTTTTTCTTTCTTTCTTTCTTTTCTTCCTTCGACTATTTTAGTGGTGAAGTTGGTAGTACTATTTCGCTACAGTGTGCGCAAGAAGTAGGAGAAAAAAAGAGACCTTCATTTTTTTTCACTCTGTTTCTCTTTTTTCTCTGTGTTTATAAGTCGTCTGTTGCAATTGGTTTGATTCGATTTGAACAATTATGAAGTTAGAAAGTTCTACAAGATTAGCAATGACACCAAAACATAGTTCACCAAATCGAATTTCAAAACAACCAGTAAATAATAAATTAATCAGACAATCTTCATCAGCTAGTACAATACAACGACGAAATCAAAATATGATATATCAACGTCGTCAAAATATTGGAACAAATAATGATTTACTTAATCAACATACACCATCAATATTCTCTGTACCGCTTCTTACTGGTGTAATGAATGATTTTTTTCAAGCAACAAAAATTATGGAAGATGAAATTATGTTACCATCCAGACTTAAAGATATGCCCGTTGAGGGTAAAATATATACATGAATAATAAATTTATATTATAAAATCATTTATTTTGTTTTTAGAAGGTGTTCTTGATAATTCAGTTCAACCAAATAATTGGCATGAATTGTATACATTTGTTCGTGATATAAGAAATCAATTAACACGATCACGTCCATTTATTGATAATGATAGTAATTCAACTAAACAACAAATCAAAGATTCAAATGATGATGAAGAAATATCAATTGCTAGTTATGATACAACACAACATTCATCAACATCATCATCATCATCAAATGTATCACTTGATGAATTTGAACAGAGTACAACATCAACTACAGCATCATTTGATACAATTAAAGATGAACTTCAATGTCATCTTTTTGGACTATTAGGATCGCTCGATAACTTAAAAATATTAGCTGATAGAGTAACTGAGAGATATCAAGAAGACTCTACGTTTATAAATTAAAATAAAAGAAAAACAAAGGACGCAGAAGACTCGAAGACTGAATCCATGAGACTTTTTTTTTGTTTTATAATTTCTATTTATGTGTATTACATTATTACGCACATCATTTGTGATGCGCTTTGTGTTCGGCTCAAAGCCAAAAACGTGTTTTTTTCCTCTGTTGTTTCTTCATGGTTTTCTTTTCATTATTATCTCAATGTTTTCCTGAAACAAAAAAAAAGGATACGTATACTTAACATAATAACAAAATGTTTTTGAATAGGTGCTCCAAGGAAAAAAAATGAATAAGACGCAATATGATTTATTTCCCCATAGGAAGAATAATACGTAGTAACCCACGAGAAGGATGTGAGTAATATTTATTTTTTTCCTCATAGTCTACTAATAATATCTTACTATTGAAAAATATTGAATGATCATTTTACCATTTGTTAATTATAAAAAGACATCTATAGATTATCTAAAAATATATATAATACATGATAAAGAATAAATATATTCTGAATAAAATTTATATTTAGTATTTTGAAATAAATGACAAAGCATACAAGACAAGAAGCAGTGCTTTTTGAATTGTTGATGCATGAATTTTTTTCTATTTTGTTTATGCTTAAAGGATCAAGGACATTGGTAACCATAGTAAAACAGGTAATAGTAATGAAGATGGATGTTTCTTCTCTTTTTCTTCATGAAAATAATGCAGACTTTCACTTAATGTAATACACACTCAAGATACTTTAAATGAGAGATGGTTAATACGATTTATAGTATTCACGTTGCTGGTCTGTTTCTCTTCTATAGAAATTGTTTCTTTATTTTCTTACTGAATTTTTCCTGTAGAAAATTTCAATACTTTAACGAAAGTTTAAACAATGAAAGCTAACATTGATTTTATAGACGAGGTTGTATGTTTCAAGCTTTTAATCGTCTCGCTCTACAACAATTTGTGATTTAGATAAAAACAGCATAGTTATAAAGGATCTTTATCATCTTTATTTTAAATTCATTTGTTTATCTAAGTTTTGATTTAAAAAAAAAGGAATTGACAGATAGAAAATCTTGATAGACAAGATTCACTAGTCTATGAAGATCTAAAGAAATCTATCGATCTGCACTAAAATATAAAATGATTTTCAGTGGTTCTTATCAATCTGGAAAAACTAAGTAAACTCATCAAAAGCTAAGAATTCATGCATGAAGAAAATGCGCTCGAGAAGAAATATTATTAATTAAAGATATGATGTTAAAATCTTTTAGAATAATATTTTGATCAATTTTGTATTTCGACTGAAATCTAAACAAAGCAGTTTTTTAAACACTGATTTTTTTTTGACTAATGCCGATTTCTATAGAAACTAACTCTTTAGTGAAAACGCATATATGAGATTTCGCTTATTGTAATATCTTATTGTGTACAGATCTTAGTACTCTACAACGACGTTGGAGTAAAGCTATTCTGAGATACAAATTAAGGACTGCACCGAAATCGATATATGGACTGAAAAATGAGTGAATACTTTGCGTTAAGACTTTCACACCATAAGCTATATCCAAATTCTGCTTGTTCTAATCAACAGAAATTGAATTAAATTTTTTTCAAATAGTATAATTTATTTCTTTTAGTAAGAATTCTTTTGCTTTTATCAACAGAAGAAGAATACCCTTGCCTAGTAGCAAATTCAATAGGCCGATATCTTCCTTACAATTAATACTAGCTGTAACTTAGGGCAGAAGGTCAGCCAGGTAATCACCCGAGACTAGAACACGTCAGCTTAGTCCCGAATTCGGATTCGATGAGCTCTAGTCACTATCTCGTATCTTTGGAACTACTATTCAATTCCGATTCGGAAATTTCATTGAGAGTATCAGAATACAGTTTGGCCAGTTTCGGATTCTATCCGAGACAAATAGCCGTTAATGACTTGCCCAGAGTCATTTCGATGGCGGATAGCGTACTAATGTTGGGACATAGCACCTTGTGGATACGTATCGAACCACGTAACCACTCAACCATTGCGGCATTCGTCAACAGAGAAGTTTAATATTTTTTCGAAGATTTAATTAAAACTGAGAAATAAACGTCAAATCGACGTAGATAATTTTGTTTTATTTTGTTTTATTTAACAAGAAAAGAAAAAGAAGAAGAAAACTAATAATAATAAAATGAATTTCATATTATTTTGTTATTTGTTTTCTTCTCTTAACAAAGAAACAAAAGTTTACTCATTGACTATAACACAATTGTAGGGAAAGAAAAAAAAAGTCAAGAAAAAGGACATGTTTCAATTTGAATATTTCACATACTTTTCAAAATACAACAATTAATAATCACACATAACGGGAGTAAATGGAAATGAAATAATTTCCTTTCTTTTCTTTTAATTTTTTTTTTTTTGCTTTTATTACTTCATATAATATCGTTTTATTTCAATTGATGGATTTTCATCATTTAAATGTTCTAAACAATGTTGATTATATTCTTTTCCTTTAAGATATGTTTGTTGACATATTATACAACGACGATGTAATTTAACAATAAGTTTATGATTTAAACGTAAATGTTCAATAAGTTCTTCAAATGTAAATAATCGACTACTTGTATCACATTTTCGACAACCAAATTTCTATTGAAATAAAAACAAAAAAAAAACAGTTATTCGAAAAATTTATTTATTTTAATTTTTTCTATACTTTTTCTGTATAAGTTGTTAATGTTCGTTTATTCAATGATGATGATGATGATGATGGTAATATTAATCTATTATTATCTTTTGATATAATTGTTCTTGATAATGGTGGAGGTGGTGGTTCAAAACGAATAAATTGTTTAAGTATAGTTGAATAACATACACCTGAATGTGTACGTAATTGATGTTCAAATAAACTTGAAGTATTTTTATTACAATGAATTCCACATAGACAACATTGTTTGATTTTGTTCATTGTTATTAATGGTATTTGATGTAATGATATAAAATGATTTTCAATATCATCAATATTTTTTTTACAAATAAAACATGATACTTTAAAAAAAAAAAATAAATAGAATTTATTTTTTTGTTTGTCTTATACTTATAAACTTACAATTATCTACTTGATGTAAATATACTTTTGGTTGAGAAATTTTCCAATAGATTTTATCACTAAATTCTTTTTGTATTTGTTCTATTTCTTGTTTAAACATGAATGATAATTGACTAGATGATGTACCTTGAATTTTCATTTGTTCAGCAACTACAACTTTAGCAGCTGATAATGTCATACGATGATATCTAAATTTATTTAGATAATATTTTTCATTTAGATTTTAATCAATCAAAACAAATTCATAAAAAATAAATATTATCTTTCGATTATTCATATTTGACAAGATCTATTTATCTTTCTTCTTATTTTAAATCAATATTCGATTAGTATTGTGTTTCTTTTTAACGCCTCTTCAATTTAACAAAGAATATCATTCGAAAATTAATTTATTATAGTTATATACCAAATAAAAACATTGATAAATGAAATATTTGAATAAATTGAAAACGTAAAAAGAAACTCCTACCATATTTACTCTACTATCAGAAAATAGATGATTACTCTCTAATCAAATTTATCTACATGACAAACTTGAGTATAAAGGGCAAGAAATTAACATGACCTGGACTAGAAACCGACTCAGGTTGAGTCATGAAAAAAACTAGTTGACCTTAGATCAGGTCACAAAACAAGAAACATTCTTTCGTCTTGAGAAAAAATAGTGGTTATTATTTTTTGTGTGAAGTATCCTGATTTGTATGACATTCATGAGTCACTTTTATTGTGCTCATACCTCAAGTGCTTATCTATGGGCATGTCTTGAGATTTGCACCTGAAAAATGCAAAGTTCGTCTTGAGTACACATGAAACACTATCTTATCTGTCGAAAGAAAAATAAACATATAACCATAAAAAGGTGTAAAGATTCAATTTTAAAAATCTTCAGGTATTAAAAAAAAAGCTGATACGAAAAATAGCTCTTTGATTTACATCAAGTATATTTCGTGAATAAAATAATATCTTTATCTTTTTTGATATCAAAAAGTTAAAATAATGTCAACATGACAACGAATTTATGTTAATAAATTTTTAAAATTTTTGTTATAGATACTTTTTAGTCAGAGTAGAAAGGAGTAGGGTAGGCTTTTTTTACCTCATTAAATGTCCAGTCATAATATCAATATGTTCAAAATTAGTATCACACCATGGACATTTAATCATATCTAATTTAATTGATTGTGGATCCATAGTTGATGTTGATAAAAGAAAAATAGCTGTTGGTGGTTGTGGTATTGTTTTTGTAACAATTAAAGTTGGTGTTAAACATGTTATTGATGTATTTATATTATTTGCTGTATTATTTAATATAGTTAATGGTGTTGAAATTGTTTGTTGTGTTGGACTTGTTTGATTATTATTATTATGTTTTTCTTTCATATGTTTAATATAATCTTTTTTATAAATATAACATTGACAAATATTACACATCTAAACAAAAAAAAAAAAAGACAATATAAATAATAATTGTTTGATTTTATATTAATATTTACTTGATAAATATCATTTCCATTTGTAGGTTTTGGTTGTATAGGTACTAATGGAGGTTTAATTGAATTTATTGATGATGCTGTAAATGTTGTTATAGGTGTTCCATTTAATAATAATAATTTTGATAAAGATGAAAGATTAGTTACAGTTGTTGTTGTTGTTGTTGGAATTGGATTAATTGAATGTGATTGAGATATTAATGATGTTGTAGTTTTATATGTTGGTTTTTGTGATTTTTTTGAACGAGATGATGGAATTTCAAAATCTAGATCATTCATATCGTCATCATGTTCATCTGTTGAACTTTCTGCATCGGATGAAACAATAAAATCTTCATCAGATGATGATGGTGATCGTGATAATGATGATGTATCATGATCAGATTCAATAAGTATTGGTTCATTGATTTCATTATTATTCAAAAT